ACATACATACATATATTGTTTTCTGAATGAAAGCCTGATTTGCTAATATCTGGAATTACTGTTGACAGTATCATTCAAAACAAAACATGCAACTATTAATTTAAATATAAAAGAAAAGTCTTTGTATTAAAATGCTTTTCGTAAATGAAAAAACATTTTAATTTTATAGTCATTTGTATATGCTATATACTAGCAATCCATTATATATATGAATTATAATTTAAGCATTTCGTAACAATACTCAAACAAAATTATGACAACGAATAATTTTCATATTTGGGAGTCTTTCATATTCCCTTTTAATATCTTTTGTGTATCCTTTATTTTACTTAGTGGCAACAGAAGTAAGTACCTACATTAAAATACATACTGTGAAAATCTCAATAGTCTAAAAGCTAACTATCACGGTTCGTGGTATAGATACAGTCTTGTGACAGTAATACTAAGGTACAAACGAACATATACCTAGTCCTAGTTATAGAAAATCATTCTACCCATTGACTACGGAACCCTAAAAACGTTAAACGATACCAAAGCTTCAGATACATTAACACCACTTAATTATAAAATACACATATTCTCAAACACATAATACATTGAAATTAATAGCGTTCATAACAAAAAATTTTCTTTTAAAAATATATCACAGTAGTTTATGGTATGAATTTCTACCGAAACTGACAAGGCTTTTTGCAGTAGATAATTTAATTCACGGTATATAAAAAAAAAAGAAATTATGTTTTAATCGTTAAGAGATATTAAAATAATAAGCATCGAGGCATAAAATCGCTTATTTACACTTGATGATTGGTATCGATTAGTCGCCGCAGGAGATCTTACTCCGGAAATTACAATATATTTCAACTTTCTTACACTGACTGTACTGTTATTTTAATTGATAAAAAGTTAATTTAATTGGCAAACGGTAAAATGGACGCTCGCAGCAAACGCAGATTATCAATGGAGCGTTGACAAAATATTCAAACACAGATACAAAAATAAATTTATTGATATTTTGACACTTTGTGTTTTATTAATACAAAATGGCGGGAATAAAAAATCATAATTTTAGTGAAATGTTCAAATGAAAGCCTGCGTTTATTTTCTTTACATTGGAAATAAAAAAAAACTGTTATGGAATGAAAAATTCATCAAAATGGCAGCCATGGAACGTGCGACTTCCGGGATATCACGTACGACGCCAATTAAGCCATCGTCATAAAACACTGCATTATTTATAAGAATCACATATCAAATATCTTTTTATACTATGTTGTTAATACTTTCACATAAAAATACAAATACTTATTGGCATAATTAAAAAAAATGCACATATATATATTTTTATTCCGCATCTGTGCGTCCAGTAGCTACTTATAATATGACTAACATCCCACTTTGTATTGAATAGCAAAATAATTAAATTCAAGAATAAACAACGTAATTAAAATATTTATAATAAAGCACAGATGGCAGATATGCATTATTGATATAATTCTTCCCGTCTTGCTAAAGTAACGCCATTTAAAGGAAAAAATACCATTTATGTAACCAAGTGTGAAAATAAATCAGCAGCGCTATAGAAAAATAGCCAGCGTTTGTTGGCATCCCGAGCTCGCAGGCCGTCCGCTCGTGGAATTTATCTTTAATTTGCCTTTTTGTATCGTTGTTTAATGACAATATTATTTTTAAAAGCACTATAAAGCTAGTTGTACACTGAATGTATATTGTTTTATATATTTGGGAGATTTAATTTGAATTTAACATGAAAATATTATATTTTAAGTAAATTATTGTTTATTATATTTATATGTGTCCGCCCACGCTGATTCGTGCCTTTATGAGACCGACGTCTGTATGATATTCATTGTTAAGAAATATGACATGAAGAAGACATTTATCACATAATGTTTATTTTAGAACTTATTTTTATTAAATATAATTTCCAATTAATTATATTAATCAAGTTTATAAACACTTTGAGCGCAAATATAAAGAAGTTAAAAAATATCTTTTAAAAACTGCTTAAAAGCGTTTTTTGTTTCCGTTGTAAAAAAATAATTAATTTAGATATATTTTCAAAGATATCTTCGTCGCAAACTTTGTCTTTACAATACAAAAGAATCTTTAGTAACTAGTATCCTATTTTATATTCAAATTTAATTTTCTAAATTTCAGGAAGAGGGTAGAAATAAAAAAACACATTACAAATTGATATGTCTCATTTTGTTTACAATATAATGTACTATTTACATTCTGTACATAATAGAAACAAATAAATTATTTAAGTACTTAAAATAGAAAAAAATATGTACAAAATATTTAAAAAACAACAATTACGTTTTCATGATAATCGTTAATAAATGATTTTAAATAAAAAAATAATAATCTGATATATTAAAATAATATTTAAACAATTTTATGAATTGTTAGTACTGTAAATGTTTTTTTTTATCGATTTATAATAAAATCGTTACATTTGATAGTATCTATATCACTTCTAATATAAATGCAGAGTCATAAAATGTATGAGACAAATTAATATAGTTTTACATACATTTAAATTGATTTAGGCCGTTTATTAAAAGAATAAATGATACAAATGGGAAGCTCATTTTTTATATAAAATAAGAAAATCAATAATTATTGAGACATTCAAAAATATAATTTTACAAAGTATATAAATATAAAAAAAATCATAATTTTGTCATAAATTATTATGCGAAAAAATCAATTCGATTGTACTTGAACAGTATTCAAAAAAAAATATAGGCATTATAAATAAATTAGAAGCCTAAATAAATAAAAATAATATATGTTTCTACTGATGTGTATTATTTTCTATCTATCATCTATATTAATAGTAAAACGATACTCAGTCTGCCCATTTGATATAACGCTGGTAACTCCTGATTATAGAAATTATAAAAATGAAATTATAAATATCTTCTAGACTAGCCAACGAGCTCTTTGGCGATGTTCGAATACCTTAGACACGTATACACAAATAAAATAATAGAAAAAAAAAACATCAAAATGATTAACAGATTAAAATGGCATTTCTATACTTAGGAATATTACAATAAAAAACGTACAAAAATCATTAACACTTAATAAATACGAACATCGATATTTTACACTAATAAAATAACGTGTTCTCGACAATTGCCATTGTGGCGTACAAAAAATATTAAGACGCCTCATTCGACTACGATCATGTCAGCGTAACAAACATGTTAGGATATACCTTAACAAGCACCGATATGTTGAAATGGACTAAAATTCATCTATATAACTATATTTCTAATCTTTAGAATATAATTTCTATATTTCTATCTAAAACTATATACTTTTTCCCGCCATTTCATTATGGGAATGTCAATGTCACTTCACACCTTTAAATATTTTGTTACAATTTTTCTCTTGCATCACTGCCCGAATTCGTTGATAAAAAAATTTATACAATATAAATTAATATCTTATAAATTAAATTTGACATATTATATGCATGGGTTTTATCCATTTTGAGTATTAAAAAAATGCTTCCGTCAACTAAAATTAAATGTAATTTTTTTTAAACGTCTTAATTACTAAAAAGAAGTTATTGTCATAAAATTATTAAATTATTAAGGAATGGCGATTATAATCATATGTTAAGTAAGAAAATTTTATATTTTTATTGCCACTATAGTAATTCAATTATTTGCTTTGTTTTGTTCATAACGAATTAGTCAACAGAAATCTGCCAACTGTCATTTCAAACTATTCCTCTTTCCTAGTCAATTCTTGAATTTTTTATATAAACTCAAAAAAATTATTAAAATAAGGTCAGATACAGATTTCTTTAACATCGAAGCAAAATATAAAATAAAATATCTTAATCCATTATAATAAAATAGCACAGATAATAAATATTAAGTATGTTCTCAACTCAAAGGAGGTTACATCTTGGACGTTTCAAATCGGGTTTAAGCTCATTTGTTCTGACATAAAAAATAAATTAGTTTAATGAAGTTAAAATATAACTCGGTTAAATTTTCCGGTTAAAATAATTCTAAATGGCAGTTAAATCTACTTACCCTGGTATAGGGATGTAACCCTTTAACAGCCCCCTACAAGTGATTTATTGTCCGATCCTAAATTAACATAAATTAATATTTACAGATTTTTTTTATTAATATTTTCATTTATTTCTCCTACAAAAAACTTGATTTCCTTCAATAGCTGTAGATGAATTTTCTTTTTATAAAATTATCAAGTCTTTTGGTAAAATATGTTCATGATTTTCATGTTTACATAAAAATGGACAAAATTTTTGTATATCATCAATAGAATGGTCGATCAAAACTAACTAACTCAGTATGCATAACTTATATACTTGTATTATTTGAGGCCATTTCATAAGAAAACTATTAAATTTATACAAAGACATGATTTTGTGGAAATATCTTAAAAGATGGATCTGTGAAGTTAGTTATTAAAAATAATGTTATTAATATTGCTGGCTGGATTTATAAACTCATTAGAAATAACTATATAATTATTAAGTGAAAGAAAATTATTATATATCTTGTGTATCCAATTATATCTGAATATATCAAGATCAGAATCCTATATTTAAGAGATCAGTTCCGATGCAGAATAGCTTATAAAGATAAACCTTCAAATAAGCTAGTAGTATCTGTATAGCCAAGATATAATTTCTATGCAGATAAATAGCCACAGCTCAGAACACAGTATAGTTATAACGAGATGATTCAATCTATCTATCTACATCCACATCTCTAAAGCTTCTATAGTTTTCATACTCAGTCCAGATATATCCGATCTAGATATACAACTATCTCAACCAGATATACAATTATCTGACTCAGCTATGTTACTACATCAACCGGACAGAACTATCCCATCCAGATACACAACTATCTCATCCAGATACACAACTATCCCATCCAGATACACATCTATCCCATCCAGATATACGACTATCCTGTCCATAACTATAGCGCTCCTATATCGGGATACGCGTGAGGTACTCCCGCGTTTTCCTTATATTGTAGCGGGTCGGCTCTGAATTCTAGACTTCTCAGCGCCATATGTCCGTACACCGTCGCGAATCTATCGATACACGCCGATCTCTGCGACATATGGCGAGCGTCAGCTGATAACATTTCGGTGTTAGTGCATTCCGGACATTTGAACTTCTTGCGTGGAGTCACCTGGAATTGTATATACATAATATAATATATGATTTTGTATTAATGTAAATCTTCATTTAAAAATAATTCACTTTGTTATTTAATAAGTATTTTGTATTAATGTTTAGAATTTCACATTTAGAAATATGATACTATATTTAAACATATCGTCGGGGATAGTACAAAACCGCGTAACTACCATTGAATAATTCCGCGTATTTACATTGGACGAAAATTATCAGAAGAAAGTTTGAGCTGAAATATAATATCTATATTAACGACTTTTAAGGTCTAAAACGAGAGTGTAAACGATTTTATTATAATAATAATAAAATCGTTTCGTTGATAGAAAAAATGAATACGGTTTAAGAAAATTATGAATAAATTGATAATATGACATAAATAAATAATAATATTGGGTGAGATTAAAAAATTGCATGTGATTTAAATTGTTATGTGTGTGTATGTACGTTCGTACGTTTGTATGTGTGTGTGTGTGTGTTCGCGTCTTCGTGTATGTGTGTGTGTATTTGTGTACCTTTATCGGTGGTTTCCTCGTGATGTTGGCCACGAGGAAGTTCATAGCGATGTCTTCACAGTTGAAGTTGTCGTCCACCCAGGTTCTGATCTCATCTGGCATCTTGTACGTGTAGTACCAGGACCACAGCTTGTGGTGGAAGGCCGCGCCAGTTAATACCTTCAAATATATTATTAATTAATAATTATCCTTACATAATATAATGTAAATTATGATTCCGATCTACGTTTGGATTATTATTATTGTATATACATTTATTGTACATGGCAATTTTCCCAGCTTTACCCAGGGTCTGCCTTACATGTTGTGAATAGTTCTGGCTAATTGTTTATACGACCGGCCGCCTGCCTGACATCAACCTTTTGGGTATGCATTAATCAGTGATTTCTAAATACTCTTAGAAAGTACATATGACTCGGAAAAATTACATTGGTACTTGCCAGGATCGAACCCGCGCCCTCATACAGCAGAGGCGGGCCTTTTAACCACTAGGCCACCAATGACTTATAAATAATTTTTGTTGTAAAATGTATGATGATACTCCTTATTGTTAATGTTCTTGGTATATTTGTTTATTTTGTTCCCAGTGGATGGTATTTCTAATAATACACTGCATATTTAAATAACTTTGAAAACTGTTTTGGCAAATTGTTTTTAACCTTATGAAATATTCTGTTGTAATATGTATAAGCTGTATGTTTCCTATATATATATGATGCCCTACACTACTAAAAGTACTCAATGGATTTCAATGTAACTTCACAATCATAAAGCTTACATATCAGAACAACACATAGAGTATAATTTATTTCGGAGTTACGTGTAGTTCCCGCGAGATCAATACATAATAATTATATTATTTATAAAGTTCTATGTCACACACAATCCATATTTATTTATTGTTTTAAAACGCTTTATACATTTCTTTCTAAGCGCAACTTGAACAAAGTTGCGAGCATAAACTAATGGACATAAAATTTAAGTATCAATTTCTTAAAAAATCACAAATATTGACTTTTCAGTATTTTTAAGTATATGAAACATAAAATTACGTCTTTTGTTCAATAAATTAACGATAAGGATACAAAATATGCTATTTAGATATAAAATTTCAAAAATAAAACCTATATAATTTTGAAGTTTGATGAAAATCCATTCAGTAGTTTAAGCTTGTAAGATTAATGAATGTGACAACATACAGCCTCATACACTTTCTCATTTATAATATACATAGTTAGATATAAGCTAGGGTTTGATTGTCAATATAAATTAATAAACTTTATTCAATAGAAACAGAAATATAAAAATATTCATTTTATTATAATAGCAGGAAGTATTGTTTGCATATCACTTTTCAAAAGACTGGTTTAAAACCGACCTAGGGCCCTTTTATACGCAATAATCCGATAACTAGAATTTTCCAAAATATTCAGGTTTATATTTTTAATTAACAAACATTAACATTAGGAATGTTTTAGTACTTTATTATAAGATATTAGTTTCGTCCGCTCGTCAAGAGATGGCGCTGCCGACCAACAGCAGTTAAAATTATGATTGATATATTTTGTAAATTCTTAAATATAATCAAATATTGAATCATTCAAATATTGAAGGTTTTGATGTTGGAAAAAACTCTAAAAGGCAACAACTTTACACAATATATATTTTTTTAGGGATTGCATAATTTTAAACCTTGAAAACGTTTGAAACTCAAACAATATATACAATTATTTAGAGAATGACTTAGCTTGTTTGTAAAGTTTATCAGTTAGTTAGAATGTTACTCACTCAATTAGAGTATAAATGAGTTAGTCAGTCAGATATATTTTTTAATCTTACCATAGATATCTGATTGGTCCACTCGCTGTGATATTTCCACGTGTGCGTAACGTTGTCCCACACGTGAAGTCTGGACGGGAAGCCTACTATACGGTCGGGAAACTCACGCCACACATCGAAACTGAAAATATTAAACAAAAATATTTGTAAAAACTACATATAATATGAGAGATTTTATATAATTAAGTACGTCGTCATCAGCCTATCAGAGCCCACTTCTGAGCAAAGGCCTCTTTCTCACATCGAGAAGGTTTGAGCATTAATCACCACGCTTGCTCAAGACGGGTTGGTGATTTCAAACTTATAATTGTGAAACTATAAGTCCAGGTTTCCTCACGATGTTTTCCTTCACCATAGGTCAGTGATGTCTAAATACTCTCAGAAAGAACATATGATTCCGAAAAATCACATTGGTACATTTAAGTACACTAATAGATATTTTGTAACATTCGTAATTTTATTTGATAAAATATACGGAATTATATTAGGTCACGATAGCTCAGTCGTTAAAACTATTACGCGACATCCCCGAAGTCACAAGTGCTAATCTAGTGGTGTGAATAATTTTTAATTTTTTACTTTGTGTTGCCTTAATGTTGTTGAAAAGTTTATAAAAATTCCATTTATAAAATTTATTTTTCAAAATAAAATCAATATAAAATTTTGAAGAATATTAATTTTAGCCTAAACGTAAATAGTATGTTTATATAGTTACAACTTTTCATTTTCATACTAAAGTGAGTTACATAGTTACCCGTAAAAAATCGTCAAAATAAGATGACACGACACTGGCAGAATATACTGTGCACGTCTGTGCACGGATGAAGGCCATATTTTAAACAACCAATCAAAAATAAGATGATTTTAATGAAAAACTATAAACTATCTGTACGTCTTGTGATGAAAACTCATAGTTATATTATTGTGATAAACATTTTCTTTACTACGTTAACTTTAACATATACTATCATAACAAAAACCTTGTTTCTTTTGGGGATGCCAATATTTTATCTTTAAAGAAAAAAAAATCTTTAAAGATAAAGAAAAACATCGTGAACAATAACAACTTCGACGATATACGTAACATTAAAAGAAACTTCCAAACGACTTCAAAAACAATGATAATAATCGTTTGACAATAAAACAAACAAAATTATACCATAACATACAAGAATAAGGTTTAATTTTGTATAATTTCAAATTAAATTGTAAAATACCCTCAATATGAACGAACAAAAATATATCTTATTGTATTATAATAAGGTTCTTTTTTATATATTCATTATAAGCCGTGTCACATGTAGACCTATCTAATATTGTTAACACCTCCCCGCTTTCGTGATTGCCGTATCACTAATGGCTTTATTTCATTTTAATTTTCCATATTAAAATTTCCATACGATAATAAACTTTGACACGAAGAGATAAGCTTTTATTTCGTCTGCTTTTTTATGGTTGTGTCTCAACTTGAAAACGTTAAGGAAAATCGATGAATATATACAAAGGAAATTGAGATTTATTTTCATATTTATAAAGAGCAAATTCTTTTGAATTTGATACAAGGGGACAGATTGTATGAATTCAGTTGAGTTATGTAAGATATATTATTAGTATTTTCTTTAAAACTTACTTGACATGATATTTAATTAAAAATATTATATATTAGTTTATTATAAATTTCAATTAAATAATATACAATGCAAAATAATTATTGATACGCACAAGAATATAACTTGAAATAAATTTCGAATTGCTCTCGTCTTGCTATACATTTTCCAATTTAAATTTCAATTTAAATATCAGTTCAACATTAATTTTACTAATATAATTTTAATACATTTAAATTTCAGTTTAAATTAAAACTATATAAATAAGTGATAAAAGCTCGTATCAAGCAAAAACTCTATCATGAGAAATTATAAATATCTGTCATAGTAAATAATTAAATGTTTAATAGGTGCATGGCTTATATACTCAATCAACCCTTTATACGAGCAAATTTTATATATATCAAAATATTATCCTACTAATTTTATAATTGCGAAAGTTTGTGTGTATGTATATAAGTTACTTCTTCACGCTCAAACGGCTGAAGCGATTTTGATAAAATTTTGTATACGGGAAGCTGACGTCCAGGAATAACATATAGGCTACTTTACATCCCGGTAATCCGCGGGTACACCCGGTACACCGCGGGGCGCAGCTAGTAACAAAATAAAACTAACATTCGTATATAACACATACATCAATATACAGAGTGACTGGTGAATTACTATCAATATTTAAGGAGAATACTCGGTACATGATTCTCATTCGAATTATGTAAAAAAATAGGCACTTAATTTTTGACCAAATTTCCGTATAAATAAATAAAGTGTGGACACGTTCCAAGTGTTCCAAGTGTGGACGCGTGCGGCGGCGTGCTGATACAACACTACGCCGCCGCACGTGTATGTGTGTGTGTGAGTGTATACCTAATGTGTAGGGTGTTCACACGATGCGTAATTAATTACACAACTTTTGGTTAACTTTACTTAGAAGTTTATTAATATTTATGTTATATTAATTTTTATTTTGTCATATATGATCGTCAAATATCACGTCCTCAAATATTGATAGTAATTCACCAGTCACCCTGTATATATGTATAATAAACTCACCCGAATTCAAGTTCATCGGGGGTCAACATGACAATATCATCGTCAATAGTCAACTGGCACTCAGTATCGATCTCGTCGTACGGAAAGAATCTGTTCGACAGTTTGTTCTCCTTCGTCCTTATAACTTTCAGCGGCTTATTCACTACCGGCCACTCGGAAGCTATATTAAAAAAACAAAAAAGAGGATTTAATCAAACGTATTAATTATCTGTGGCACTTTGACAAGAAATCTAATATCGCTGAATTGAATACAAAAAAAAAAAAAGTAATTCTCTTCGATCTCTGTCCCGAACATTGCAAAAGAAAATTAAATATATATTATATAGTAATAACAATAACGAAGCGAAATGGAATGTTACTCGTTTAAACATTTATTCTTAATCTAGTTATTTGTATTACGTGAATTGAATCCTATTACTTTATAGATAAGGTTGATTTCGTTATGTTTCTTAATATTTTCACTCTCTATAAAATAAGATTCATTCATACATGTACAGTTGGTATTAATTGCGTGTTCGATAGAAGACGTTACTATCAAAATGTATTAAATAAATCTCATAGGAATTCCTCATTTGAAAATGATACTAAATGCTTATTAACATAAAGTGTATTTTTGCAATAGATAAATTTGATTGGTATTAATAGTTTTATTGAAACTTTCTTTTGAACGTACTACAAACTAGTACTAAAAAATTCATATAAACATAGAAACGGTATAATTGAAAACTATTTGTGTTAGTTTAAAATATTTTTTTCTCTTTTTTCTATAGACCTATATCAAAAACAAGGTCGAATTACTTTTTGATAAAAAGTCGATAAACAAAACGCCATCAATTAAATATTTATACTAAATTATATTCAAAAATGTATAATTAATTTGAACTTAATTTAAGCTCTGTTCAAACTTCAACCACGTCTTTAGTTCCATTCAAAGTTAGGAGTTTAAAATATACGAAATTAATTTACACTAACATTGTGTTCAAACAATTTAAATCTTACCTTTTGATATGTATACATATTTTATAATAAAGAAAATTAATTATAAAAGCTTTTATTGTAAAGCCAGGGTATTACTGCAATTTATTATTTGATTATTATAGTGATGGCAACATTTATTGCATAATATATGCATACGGGCGTATACAAATACAAATTCATAATTGGCAAATGGCAACACTTTCAATATAACACACACAAGCTGACTTATAATTAAAATATATACGTACATATAAAATTTACACTAAATACTCAAAGGAAATACAAAATTTTATAGACATCATTAAAAATATGAAGCTACTTACTAATTACGACGTATATTGAAAATGTTTTTAAACCTGGTTTTCCAGTACAAGTAATGTAATTGCTATACTATACTATGCTATACTCTACATATAATATACTATCTATTAAGTTGTTACTCACAGGGAGGAGGTGGTTTCTTCTGATTGTTCCATATCACTAGTATTTTCGCGAGGCTTGGTGTTCGTACTAGTTGTCTGACTAGTGTGAACAAGCTGCTCACACGGTCATAGGTCAGAATGACTGCTGTGAAGCCTGGGGACTTGGGGGCAGTCACCGGCAGAAAAAGGGGGTTCACTGGCCCGTACTGATGACATATTGAGAGATACGAAACTAATTAGCATACATGGATACACCCTGTAGATACCGGGTCCATTTTGTAGGGAGAGGAGCTTCAACAGTGACTGGGACTCGGAATCCAGGTGTAGGTTTAAATGGCCTATCTAACGCGCGTTAAATGCTCACCTCCACTGTCCAAACTGCTCTCCCTACTTAATTATAAGGGAAATTTATCTATGTAATATTTTAATAATATAAATAGTTATAAGTGACTTGGTTATTTTTATATTAGTTACTTGTACATTATATATATCAAGTTTATGAAATATATATATTTCTTTGCGAAGTCCTTTAATATCACGAAATTCTAATTTGGTTCTCGCTTAAATGGAAGTCTTTATACATATATGTATAAATATTTTATATGAATAGTAATACAGCACTTATAATGCTATAAAAACTGAATATATTTCAGGGTAAAACATTAATTACAACTGGAATCAAATGTACCTATAGTATTTATATTTCTTAGAAGCACCTAATAGTCATTAATAACCCATTTACTAACTCTTAATAAATCATTTAACTGAAACCATTGACCAAAATATATATATATATATATATATATATATATATATATATGAGTTTGTATGTTCGTGTATTTAAGTGTATCAATTGTTCAGTAAATAATGAATATATTACTACCTACTGCTTGTTATTTTCGACCCTAATTAATTGAGTATTTCAACTTCAATAGTATAATATAAATGTCATTATGTTTGACATTCAGTGGCAATGCACACATTGAGGAATCTTCGTGTATTGACGTATTATACATGTGTGTGTGTGTGTGCCAAAGTTATGGTGGTGTGTGTAAAACATTTTTATTACTGTGATGTATTTATATATCCCTACTAATATTATAAATGCGAAAGTAACTCTGTCTGTCTATCTGTCTGTTACTCTTTCACGCCTAAACCACTGAACTGATTTTAATGAAATTTGGTACAGAGACGGAGTTGACCTTGAGAAAGAAAGTAGGATAGTTTTTATCCTAGACTTTTGAAAAGTTCTCTTGGAAACGCGATATAAGTGAACTCCACGCGGGCGAAGCTGCGGGCGGAAAGCTAGTTTTAAATATAGTTACTAGCAGCCTTGACTGTGTCAAATACAACGTTCATCAATTCAAAAATTATCTTTAAAAAAATACGAATAGTTAGCTTTACTTTTTATGGATAGATATGTCAGACTTAAATTATATTGTGAGATAAATAAATTAATGAATAGAGATATTCAAACTATACATTTAATCATTTTAAATTGTATATAATCATGTTCATATATTAATATTATTTACTGTGAAATATTATTTTGATTTGTTTATAAATTACAGATCTCATAGCATAATTTTAATTAATACAATTCGTATTATTCGTCTTTGAGTCAGACATATTTTACAATGTCAAGAAAATTCTCACATTATATAGAATCTCACTAGTTGTTTTAATGATCGAATTTTTCAATTTTTCGGTGGAACAGATGAAAAGTATCCTACGTCCGTCTCCTACTTCTAAGTTACCTCCCTAATAATTTATAGCCAAATCGATACAGCCGTTCTTGAGTTACAAATAGTGTAAGTAACACGACTTTATTTTATGTCCATATATATTCTTAAAATCGCAATGGCAAATATCTCATATAAAATTACATTTACAACAACCTAACAACAATATTCATCCATATTTCAACTGATGAATGATTTATACTATTTTTTTATTAATATTTCATTGCCAATGCTTGAAAAACTTGGTGAATAAAAAGAGATGATGTATAGTCAATTAAGTAAACAAAAAAACGAGAGATAAAAAATAGAATTGAGGAAGAAGTATACGTTATGATTCATTAAAATTATAAAAGTTTGAAAAGGTAATAGCAAAAAGGTCTTATTTGTATACCATTAGCCTTAAGATTATGGTTTTTAATATATATATAATTAAAAATTACATTTAATATACCATATTCAAATGTAAATGTTATAAATTATAATTCAGTCAAATATTTACATGCTAAGGTTATGTTCGCATGTTTGAAGTTCTATTAAAAAAAGTAGCAACAAAACTAAGTGTAATTATTATGGTTGGAAATAGAAAATTTCAACCGAATTCTGTTTTATGATAATTATATATTACACATACAACTTGTACCGGCTATATTAATATATGATATTAAAAATACTTCGTTCTTTCAATGAAACTAATATTTTCGGATTTAATACGCATTTTTTTTATTTTTGGCTATAAACTACATACTCCCGACGTTTCGGCTACTTTACAGCAACCGTGATCACGGACAGACGAGATGTGTAAAATATTAGTTTCATTTATATGAGTACACGAGAAAATTTTAGATCTCATTACTTCGTTATTTCCAGCCTTACTTCATAGTCAGGACAAAAATAATTTAGTAATATTAAAATAACCTTTGGAGTTACGTATTCCAATTAAGATTTAATTTAGATGAAAAATTATACTAACTAGAAAATCTGAGTTATAAATTTATTATGAGTTATTATATAGGATATTAAAGAACGTTAATATAACGAGGGAATTGAGATAATTGTGGAGGGAAATGGGAATGGGAACACGGAGATCGAAAGATATTATACAGGGTGACTGGTGAATTACTATCAATATTTAAGGAGAATACTCGGTACATGATTCTCATTCGAATTATGTAAAAAAAATAGGCACTTAATTTTTGACCAAATTACCGTATAAATAAATAAAGTGTTGACATGTTCCAAGTGTTCCAAGTGTGGACGCGTGCGGCGGCGTGCTGATACAACACCACGCCGCAGCACGCGCGCGTGTGTGTGTGTGTGTGTGTGTGTGTATACCTAATTTGTAGGGTGTTCACACGATGCGTAATTAATTACATAACTTTTGGTTAACTTTACTTAGAAGTTTATTAATATTTATGTTATATTAATTTTTATTTTGTCATATATGATCGTCAAATATCACGTCCTCAAGTATCGATAGTAATTCACCAGTCACCCTGTAGTTTTAAGAGTATTATAATATATATGATAGGCAGACCCTAGCTATAGCTGGGAAATCGCCAGGTAGAAGAAGAAGATAATATATGCTATTATGGTATAAAATATACTAATTAATTTATTATTCTGTTCCTATTTTAAGTCTTCTTTTATAATTATCAATTTTACTACTTTTTAAATTGATAAGATCTAATATTCATTAAAATAAAACTTATATTTTAGTGTTTACTTATGTAGTATTTTTTTATTATTTTAACTACATACTCCCGACGTTTCGGTTAATTTGCAAAATATAGACATTTTTATCTCGTCTGCTCATGAAAAATATTATTTTTTAAATGGATTGAATGTTTCAAAATATATTTAATATACGTATGAATTCCGTGTTTTATATAAATATAATATTTATATGGTAACTTCAATTATTTTTTACCTTTCAAATATTCTGATAGTCATGGTTAAAAATATTTTATATAAAGTTAAATATACAAGTTCAATTCTGTTAATAAAAACTACGTATCTCCATTCTTCGGTATTTTAAAACTATTCTGTACAAAGTACTAGCGATTAGTGTACCTTTTATCTTTGGTTTCGATTTCAAATAAAACAGAAAAGAAATAGAAGTGTACAGAGAAATGAATGTTCTAGGGAATTCTTTCAACTATTTGATAATATTAACTTCGAGAATATTTATTTAATGTGAAACTTCATATAGACATAATCTCAATACATTTAAAACTTTTTTTTATTCATACTCATTATCTATATGACAAAGATAAAACTCTTGTACAGGATACTTTATTTAGACTACGACTTAATAATTAATTTTATATACTTAATGTCTGGATTATATTCGACCCTAATTAATTGAGTATTTCAACTTCATAGTCTTCTATATATATAAAAATGGATTGCTGTTCCTTAGTCTCGCTAAAACTCGAGAACAGCTGAACAGATTTATCTTATCTTAGTCTTGAAATGTTCGTGGAGGTTGAGGGAAGGTATAAAAGGTGAGAAAAATTGATTCATTTCTGGGAAAACCCTAAAAACAGCCCTTTTCTATTTCCCATACAAATGTTTTCTTTGACATTAGATTTGACAACTAACTAATATGTCAATCATTCTGTCGCACTTCAAAACACGGAGATTTATGGCTTACAGGTAAACTCCAAAAATATAAATAAACAAACGTAATAGATATTTCTTGATTATAGGGCGATACGAAGTTCGCCAGGTCTTCTAGTATAATATAAATGTCGTTATGTTTGACATTCAGTCACAATACACACACATTGATGAATCTTCGTGTATTGACGTATTATACATGTGTGTGTGAGTTTGTGTAGGTATGTGTGTGTGTGTGTGTGTAAAAAATTTTCATTACGTTAATATATTTCTAATTCATTTCATATGAAATAAATCGTATTTCCTCTCCATATAAACTTTGACTTTGCTAACTACGTTCAATATTACGAACAATACCCTTTTAAAGTGATAAAAAAACCGCTTCAGATGTTAATATTTAATATTATAGCAACATTCGTATCAAATCCCTATTAATATTATAAACGCGAAAGTAACTCTGTCTGTCTGTCTGTTACGCTTTCACGCCTAAACCACTGAACTGATTTCAATGAAATTTGGTACAGACATAGAGTTGACCTTGAGAAAGAACATAGGATAGTTATCCCAGACTTTTGAAAGGTTCTCTTGGAAACGCGATATAACCGAACTCCACGCGGGCAAAGCTGCGGGCTGAAAGCTAGTGTAAAATAAATTTTATCGCTGTTTCGATCAAGAAAAATAATAATTCCGTGACACAAAAACGTCACGCTCATTATACGTTAAATGACAATTTCTCTAACGACGTTCTTCCTTGATGTAACACGCAATACAATATTAACGCCCCTTCTTTGGTTACACCGCCTCCATACATTTACTACGGGTCTGTATCATCAAACTTACAGTTCTGCGTATTTCATTCTTTAACTTCGTATATGATAGTATCAATTTAGTTCTATGAATTAATACTGGAAAGGCTTCGTAATTATTGCGATTTTTGAAAACTACAAAGGGTTTTGAATCCCTACTAATATTATAAATGCGAAAGTAACTCTGTCTGTCTGTCTGTTACGCTTTCACGCCTAAACCACTAAACTGATTTTAATGAAATTTGGTACTGAGATAGAGTTGACCTTGAGAAAGAACATAGGATAGTTTTTATCGCAGACTTTTGAAAGGTTCCCTTGGAAACGTGATATAACCGAACTCCACGCGAGCTGAAAGCTAGTCACATTATATGTAATTAAATACATAAATATATTTCTAAACTCGAAACTATCCGTTTATTTTGACCATGAGAACTAGTATTAAGAGCAATGAAAGTAATGTGTAGTAATGACGTCATTTATGCCCTACCTTATTGGTAAGATCTTATTGGGTCGAGTCGCACATTTTAACTTTATTTCACGTATAACATTAAACGCTTCTAATTATTACAATGTAAATATTTTTTTATTATAAGTAAATATATATAAATACTACTTTGTTATATATAATAATTGTCTTTGACTTTGTCTTTTCACCTAAATAATTTTTCACCTTTCGATTTGAAATATCAACATATTGAAAAATATAAAAGTAGAATAATCACGTTTTAAATTATATACTACTGCGTTATTTAAACAGATGTCGTAATATTTAGACCTCAAGATGATAGAAAAATGACATTGAATGTAGCAGTTCAAAGTTACGTTAAGACTTTATTAAGATTTCAACAAGAAATGTATAGGGTCATTCATAAAGAGGCTGTAACTAGAAAATATATATTACAGCAATTTTATTTTCATAACCGCCACATGTTACCGGTATGTTAGTAATATGAGTTGAAAAGAAAAATATACCTCTAGCTTAAAGGTAAACCTTTTCAATACTTTAGAATTTGAAATTAAAATATTACATAGTCTTTAATCTTTTAAACGGACTTTTATATATGCTTTCAGATTAAGAAAAATGAGAGTAAAGTTGAAGGTTAAAATTTATATAAAACCTTCTTAGATTAAATGTCACAAGACCAAATATTTTTTATCTGTATCATATTAAAGTGTATAGTTAATAATGATATGAAAAACTCACCAAATGTTCAGGAACATTCCAATCTTCATACATCCTCGCTGACAACGGAAATACTTTCTCGTTGATGATCTCCAACGTAGTTAACGTAATCTTCTCAATACTAGAGAAATATCTCTCATAGACCCAACGTAACTGCCAATACATTTCACCTTTACGTTCCTTACTCACTGAATGCACTATTCGTAATAAATTTTTTATATTCTCCTCTGGCACAAATAAAGCTATTTTATTCCAATCTACATGTGAATTGAACGGCATAATTATTGCATCAGCTATAATGATTGGTATACACTGTGATGCTATAACATCCATTAATACTGGCTGAGCCAATCTCGCACTTCGTACAACAAGACAAAACATACCCTCTTTTAATATATCCGGGTAATCAAACATTTTGCCGGTTGTATACTCACAACGTTTCGTATAATCGGTGCTAGCATCTTTGCATCTATCTAGAAGCAGTAAATCATTTGACGACGATGCTATACTTTGTAGCTGAGCTAGATAATCGCTAGGTATGTTTGTCTGTGTGGATATAATCATAAAACTCTTCTGTTTAGGCTGCGAACTATTTATTCTTTGTGCTATATAACTGTATAGTGGTATGGATATATCAAAACCATATCTAAATGTCCAAGTATCGTAGCCAGCTCCTGCTATAATGGCTTTACTTGTGTTGAGATCAATAACTGTATTATAATTTGGCGAGATTCCCGCCACCATGTTAAATATAAGGTGATTTTCACCATTGTTCCAACTGAAAAGATTATTTAGTTTAGTAATCATATAAAGTGATTTGATTATATATTTGTGTATAGCTGATAGTACTTACTGTTCAAGTGACTGCAAAGCTTTGGAAACATATTCGCTAGAAAAACCTATCTGATTTAATGTATCTATACTAGGCACCAAGAGGCAGGCATCTTCTGGATTTGGGGTGTAATATTTACTACGTTTTATTGTACTTAATATTTCATAAAACTCTCTAGAAAACTGAGAAATAGCCTTCCCATTCTCATTTCTGTATTCAGTTAAGGGATATATGTATATGGTTATCTTGTCGTGACCTCCTCGGCCGCATTTGTAAACATTAAAACAATACCAGTAAGTGCAGTTCGTCCAGCGTGGATCTGCAGATCTCGATCTACTCACAATATTACGAATTGGTAGACTCAATGCCTCCAAATTCACAGACTCATAAATATCAGCATGAGGAGCACTTCCCGCGAAAAGATTAAACACTACCGTTAATACTAATGATATCAAGATAAATAATAGAAGCCCGACAAAAAATCTATGATACACAATTTGCCTATACGTATACTTTGAATACTTGCTCGTTTTTAGAAGTGTCTCCGCAGCCATTTGTGATTACGAAGATTAAATTGGCATCCTTAATTTATATATGGCACCCATTATTAGGTACATTGATTATTTTTAAGTCAAAACTTCCAATATTTATAAAACACTAAAAGCTGAAGTTTTATAAAAATTTTGAGAAGGACGACTGTCGCTGTATATGACGATTGACGGCCGTCTGACAAATGTAACCATAAAGTTAAAGAACTTATGTCGGGACTATAGACAAAGTCAACAAAAAAATCTATTAATGGTTAATTTCATGAGTTTTAAATTATTTTCTACTGTACTTTGTACTAGTAGGGACTGTAAAAGTAAAGAAGAAGTCACTGATTTAATATTTGAAATAAATGAATTTATTTTATAATAAGTGTTGTATTTGAAATCTTTATTTAGGAACGCGTCGTAACCGACGTATTAATGTAAACTTTCTTGTTTTTGTGTCAGTTTTGTGTTGTGCGTAGTTGTGGTTCAGTTTCTGATGGCTTGATTAATTTGATTAACATTTTATTTTTCCATTATAATTACATATTTTGGTTAGAGCTTGACCGACGATGGCTCTGCTGCCGCCCGACCCGGTTTTTACGATAAGAAACGTGGACAACTCTCCAGTATACAGCTTGGCTTTTAGTTTTCTGCCGGGCGGGCTCGAGAGGTTACTCGCCGGCTCAAAAAACGGATATGTTTATGCATACAACCTTCAGGTGAGATCAGATATTCTTAGTATAATAACTCACGCTTTACATATTAACAGCGTAGAAGCTGAAACATCTTAAAAAATACGGCTTCCATTTATTGTACATTTCTTTGTTTATTACCCTCATTTTTTGACCTAGAAATTGCAGACTATGTTGTCGCGTAAACAACATCATTTTAGTTTAATAAAGTAATGAATGGCTTGTTGATATACATGTTCCAGTTATTATAATAGAAAATAGTAATATTTAGAAATATGAAAATATATATTCTCATGAATGTTGCTTGCAATTAAATATATAAGATATGAAAAAAATTAAACTAATATATTTAAATAAAATTGATATTATATATTATTATTATTTGTAGTTTATAATGAAATGTAATGAGATAATTTTATGATTCTAGACTAACCGGGTGCAGCAAAAAATCAAAGTAGGTCAAGCTCCCATCCTTCATCTTATTCACACAGACAACCAACTGATCACTCAAGAGAAAGGCGGTAAATTCAAAATCTTCAACCTAACAAATTCTGGATACAAAGAGGAGCAGATTATTGACATTGATTATCCCGGATTTTGCCGTTTTGTAGCCAACACAGAACTCGAAACACTCTATGTACCTGATGGGGATGCCAGAATACAAATTTATAACTTCTCCGGGGAGAAATTAGGCATTCTAAAACCGGAGGATGATTCACCAAAACTCGGAGATCCTATGTGCATGAAGTTAATTGAATTTCCGAATGAGAAGCCCTGCCTTCTAGTGGGCTATGAGGCATGTTGGCTCCTACTATGGGATCTCAACACTAGTCAATGCATCAGCAAAATGCAGACAAAGGAATGTCCAATGTCCGTCGATTTCCATATCGAACAACAAAGGGGTATAATTGGCAATGCCTCGGATGTGATACAAATATTTAGTATAAGCAAAAAAGACTTCAGCCTGACCCACAAAATGGATGTGGGTATTAAGAACCCGGGGATAAATAAAGTTAGTACAAGAAGTGACGGCAGAGTATTTGCTTCTGGAGGCTGGGATGGGCATATTCGTATATTTTCTTGGTTTTCTTTGAGACAACTGGTCGTACTTACTGAACATAGACAGGCCGTACAGGATGTCGTTTATTCCGACCAAAAAGTTTCCTATTGGAATGCAAATATAATGGCCGCCGGAGGCCTAGATGGTGCCATAACATTATGGGATTTGTATAACACTAAGAAATAGTGTTATAATTATAAAATCACAATTACAGCAAAACAAGACATGTAATATGTATGCACCAGAAATATTAATTAACCATATTGATGATTGATAATTATGACATTATTTGCATGATCTATCAACTTTTATTTTTAACAATAATTTATTTTTGTTGATCATCAATATATGGGAAGTGATAAGAATTAAATGAATTTTAATCTGATGCCGATATTGCCTTAATTGTTATACTTTATGAAATGCTTTAATTAATTTGTGATTGAAACGATGGTGCGTAATGCAAAAGTAAATTGGATCTCTATGATGTACAAGTAACAAATATCACATGCGTGGTTGTTTAGAAATATTAATTCGTTAACAATATGGCGCTGACTATATTATATTACAAATGATTTAAAGCAATGTTTTTGAAGACATTAAATGAGAACGAAATTTTATGGCTTGTTATTTACCCGAAATATATTTAATACATACTTAATCAAATATAATCTCGTTAGCAATTGATTTTATAGTAAACTTTCTAAATCTAAACACGACTTTGATAGCGTGAAATTTAACTTTTTTTTAATAAGTAGCTTAGGTTAGTCTATTTTTTGACAGTTATTTTAATTCCCTCCAAATTGGCGTAGTTGTATCAGAGGGTTTTATAAGAAACTGACATTCTAATGTTAATATTTTTTATAGAAAAAAATAATGTTTCGTTTATTTTTGATTTTACCTAGTTATAGTGATCTAGTATAAAAATGGAATAATATTACATACATCCTTTTGTTTTAACACAAACATGAAATTCAAACATACGGCCTCGAATATTTGTATGAACAATTTTAAGGCAACCAATAAGTAAATAACCCAACTCTAGTTCAACAGCATACAACGGAATGAATCATTTATGATCATGTAAATTATTTTTTCAGCTGTTAAATTGGAACGAATTATTCAATGTTTCCTCTGACTGGAAAATATCATGTCGTTCGTTGCAAAAAAAAACATAAAAATTAAATTGTCGTTTCCTTATTTATACAGTTGCAAAAAACGTGTAGGTATTTCTCTGATTTAGCAATTAGGTATATAATTTCTTATAGAATAGAAATTTGTAAGTTCCACTAGCCACAATAGAATCTTTCAGTTCATTTCAGGGGAATCTTAAACATAATTTTACTTGTCCATATATCCTCAAATATTATCTTATGTTTTTCCCGCATCTCCATTGACTTTAAGATATAGCTGATTTTATATTGCATATGTTTAAAAAATATTCGATTTATTATATTCGTAAATTTAACTTGATGAATAAAATATGTGACAATAATAAACTTTAATTTGAATCTGCGTCTCTAAATATTTAAAACATAATAAATAACTACATTTACGAAATAAATTCATATAAATTAACGAGCATAATATTAATTTAAATCACTACATACGTAAATTACAAATAATGATAAAATTTTACTTGATTGAGAATTCACCAATATTAATATTTAAATAGTTGTTGGAACTGTCATGTCGGCTTTGGCTGCTCTGCTTTATAATCACTACGATAGATTTCAAGATTCATAACGAAGTTTGTTTCAATTTGGGATAAAACAGAGATTGTTTGAATATTTTTCGTAATAATTGTTTATGGCCATCACCGTTACGACAATTTGATTATTTCTAATAAAAAGTAACTTACTTAGGTTGTTACAGCTAATTCGTAATAGGTATACAAATAGTAATATTAATGTAAATACCTTTTATGAAAGTTTTGACATCATAGTGACATATTCAATATAATATTATTTATCCCCATATTCCATATATTAGAGTTTAATACGAAGTCAAGATCATAGATGGCTCTGAAGCATAATTAATAATGTATGATTTAAGCTCACACTAATAATTTAATTCTAATATAAATACACAATTATACGCAGAAGAGACCGTGGGGGAAAGTTAACGTATGTATGTAAGCACAAATAGCTTTTATTGCAATGGTGACAATTTGCTTATAATATTGAATTATCTAAAGGAATAACGTCAATAATTGAGACAATATACGTATTGATAAATTTATTATGGGCAATGAAATATTGTTATAATAATATCACATTTACATTAAGATATTAAAAAGAATAAGTCGCGACTTACATCTAAGACTAGCAATTTGAAAGATTAATGAACTTCGTTCGAATTATCATGCTTTGTGATATGTATTATGAATAAAATTTAATTCTAATATAAATGTTGAATGATTAAACTTGTACGATCTTCCTTGTTTTAGGAATGAGTGTTTCTTCGTCGGTAGCAACTTCGACGAGTCTCCGTCTTTTTCTTAAAGGTCTTGAGGACTCAGCGTTTTCTTTCGTTTTTGATACTATTTTCGCCATTTTGTTGCCCAGGCGCGTTATTTTGAATTTAGGCAACGTCTGTTCGGGGTTTGTCTCTGTATTATTTTGTGAGTCATCGTCCACTCTTTCGTTATGATTATTTATTTGACTAGCTTTTTCTGTCACAGGATCGTTCTGTTCGTGATTGTCTGATTTGTTATTGCATTCGTTCTTCTTGGCGGGGTTCATTGTGAAATCTAACGGTCCTTCAGCGTCATCATTGTTTGCTTCTGTTTTGACTTTGTTAGTACAGTGAGCTTGAATGAATGAGCTCAAAGGTAGAGGTATTGGGATGGGTATTGGAACGGGTATAACGACGGGGTATGGAACGAGCACCGTCACTGGCGGAGCTTGGTTTATTGGTTGATGGAAATTTAACGGTGGGAATAATCTCGGTCTCTCTTGGTGTAAACCAGGCGGTGGTATGAAATTGAGTCTCGGTTGAAACATTGGATTTGGATTTCTGTGGTCATTCATGTGATTGTCCATGAAAACCGGTGGTGGCATTCCGAATATTGGATTCGGAAACGGTGGTGGGATTGGTTGGGTCATATGTGGTGGTGAATGTATAGGGTTGTTGCTCGTGACACAAGACCCTGGCGATGATCCATCCATTGACGGACTCAGCATCCTGAACTCTTGAGTTTTTGGCGTCATACTTCTTTGTCTTACAGTTTGCGACGTCACCGTCGAGCATTTCGACGTCCTACGTTTGCGTAAATTCATTTTAGTCCTCAAATCTTTCTTTGTCTCTGGGGATTTCTGTACCGGTCTATCTTCTTGTTGTTTCGGATTCATTAGTTTAGCTGGTGGCGCTATAGTTATGAGTGGGAGTGGTGATTTTCTTTGGCTTGTGTCATCGTTTTTCTCATTGGTTGTTCCAGATCCTTCTGATGTTGGTGATATCGATCTGCTCCTGCAGTTCTTGAGCCATAGTTCTGGTGTGATGAGGTTGGAGGAGGACGCGGCGTTCACTAAGTGCGGGTTCAGATCCAGATGTGCCTGTGTCTCACGACAGAAGATGTGCATCTTGTATTGATTCAGACATTTATCTGAACAGAACTGTAGTTGAGTGGCTCCGTCCTGGAATAAGAAATATAGAAATTTATTGGTGCATTATACAGTAAGATACTGGCATACTAAATAGAATTAAACGAAATTACGACAGTTAACTAATATGTATTTACTTAAAAACGAAAATAATGAATAAACTTATTAAATAGACAATTTTCTAAGATAATGATCTATCACAATTCCAACTTAAGCTAAGTGGAAAATAGGCTGAAGGTAGTGAACTAACAATTCCAGTAATAGCCTATTCACTCTTGCCGCATAACCAAGAAAATTATTAAAAATATATACTAATCTATTTTCTTCCAAATTTATTCCTTTCTTGTATCATGAGATCAATAATTTGGAAAAATTTAATGCAATAAATGATTATTTTTTCTCTTACATATTTACCTGGAAATCCACATAAGCGACGGTGTGTCTAACGTGACGGCACCAGTCACATGTCTTTGCTCGTTTGAAGTTAGCTCGTCGTGATTGACTGAAGCAGAGTTCTGAACAAAACAACGCCCCAGCCTGCTGTAAGGCGCCGCTCTCACTGGTCACACTCTTGTTGCACCACGAGCATTCATCTGCTGATAAAAAAAACAATCATTTTATCATATTACTAGTTTTTCCCTTCGTGTTACTGTTTTTAAACACTTATTTAAGACACAAATTTCACGTGTTAAATGACGTTACGCAAAAACGATCATATTTTACTATTTTATTAGTTTCCTGGGGTGGATGATATTTTTTATTTTATAAAAATAAATCATATCATACTTTTTAGTTTTATTGTATTCAGTAGATAGACATTTCATTTTATTAGAGTAAATATAATTAAGAAGGTTGAACGATAATATTGTAATGTATTTTAAGAGTTCATGGCTTTGTTTTCATATTTTGACTATCCCTTGTTATTAGTGTGCAAAAAGATTACGCATTTTAAGAAAACGCAACAAAGGAATACCTCTATTTATATTAAAACTAGTTTTTGCCTTCAATTTCATCTGCGTAAATTTCGTTATTAGTAATATATATATAGCTGACCAGGCGAACTCTATTCCGTCTTAAATAACCAGGTATTTTTCCTGTTTCAATCGAACAGAATGATTGACATATTAGTTAGTTGTGAAATCTAATGTTAAAGAAAACGTTTGTAATTGTATGGGAAATAGAAAAGGGCTGGTTTAAGGGTTTTCCCGGAAATGAATAAATTTTTTCAGCTTTTAATCCTTCCCTGAACCTCCACGAACATTTCAAGACTAAGATAAGATAAATCGGTTCAGCCGTTCTTGAGTTATAAGTGGAGTAACTAACACGACTTTCTTTTAGGTACATATATAGATATATAGATTTAATGAGATGTCATTATATCAATTAAGATTAGTTGTTAAATATCTTTAAATAATCGAAAGATAATCCTATATAAACATTTAGTTTTTGTTATAACATGTATTGTCTATCTTTTATAATATCATCTATCTATCTTAAAACTAGTGATTTATATCGTAATTGAAATATTTCCCAGAAGTTTCCTATAAATAAGAGGGGTTGAATATTCAAAGTAAACTTCGTTCCGGGAATCCTTCACATTATTATCCTTTTAAATACGCTGACAATGCATTTTTCGTATAAACATCGAAATAACTTACCTATACTATAACAGGTGATGATAAAAATATATTAATCTCATATAAATTTTGATGTTTATTTTATAATTTAATTAGATATAGGTTGAAGTAAAGAATATGTTATTTGTATATTATTGTTTTTAGTAGTATATAATTAGTATAAAAATAAAAGACTTCTTAACTATAACGTGAAATTATATTTCATCTTACAAGCAGAATCTATTACCAATATGCTTTAAAAATCAGTTTTGATAGGACTATTTTATTTTATTACTTTTATCATTCTCTTAATTAATTGCATATATTTTTCTTAAACGATTCCTTGGTGGAAGGACGTTCGGGATGCGTAGTCCAAGTTTGCATTCTTACACAACATATGAAGCAGTTCAGGTATAACATCATTTACGTTTACGTAAATACTGACGTTAGAAGATTTATTAATAAAAAAACTATTAACGTTCTATTAGTAGAGAAACGACTTCAACTTAGACTAAGTATCCCTACTAACATTATAAATGCGAAAGTAACTCTGTCCGTCTGTCTGTTAAGCTTTCACGCCTAAACCACTGAACTGATTTTAATGAAATTTGGTACAGATATAGAGCTGAGCTTGAGGAACAACATAGGAAGAACATAGTTTTTATCCCAGACTTTTGAAAAGTTTTCTTGGAAACGTGATATAACCGAAATCCACGCGGGCGAAGCTGCGGGCGGAAAACTAGTACTCTATAAATGATCATGTATAGCAAATTCATTAGATTAGAACATATTATAATTACAACAAAATACAAATGTGTAATTTTGTATTCTGCGAGTATTCATTCAAACAAAACTTATATTTTTCTGATTTACTACGCGATTTTAATTACATTATATTTTAACTATGTACATACTCTCGACGTTTCGGTTACTTTGTTATTTGTAGCAACCGTGATCTCGGGCACTGGAGAAAAGATTCTCATAGCGTAGTAAATTCGAAAATATTAGTTTTATTTAAACATATTGATACTATAGATATATAACTTTGCGATACTCCGAATAGAGAAGGAATTGATCTTAAACTAAATCTTTTAATGTATTTTTAAAAAGGGATTGACATACTCGCCTAGTACTTACTCAAACAGATTTACCTATAAAAGTACTTATTTGAATAAATAAAATCTGTATACTTTATTGAAACAACAGAAATCATATAATAATTTACTAATAATAATAGTTCTACTCCGATCGCCACACCGTCTTCATCTTAGTCTCGTGGGTAACAAGCACGGCATAGTCTAAGTCTAGTTGAGTCTAAGTCTAGGTAAGTCTAGCTCAGAAACACGAGAGGATCTCATTCATTACAAGCGCTCGCAAATAAAAGCAATATCTTGTTATGGGCCTTATTAATTAATATCTCGCTGTTACTAACGAAGTCATATCGAATTGTTGACATTTGAGAATCCACTCATTATTTCATATTATTTTTTATAATGGATTGCTTTCTTTATTTCTACGTTGTTTTCAATGTTATTTATATCCGTTATTCTATTTCTGATATGAAAACACCGATCGTTTATTTTAAATGTTAAATATGATTACGGTTTTCGATAAAATTATTAGAAATTTAAGACAAATTCTGTATACAAGCTGTGGATACTAAAGTGAAGTACATTCCAGTAATCAAGTATATAGGTACCACCTCGATCTAACGCTTGAGATTGCTTGCATTTCAAATTTCAAACACACTTTTAGTAACTCAACACCGCTCAGCTTGATAGTACACTACAAGCAACATGTAGCTACTTATAATCATTTTAACACAGATATACAGGGTGACTGGTGAATTACTATCAATATTTAAGGAGCATACTCGGTACATGATTCTCATTCGAATTATGTAAAAAAAATAGGTACTTAATTTTTGACCAAATTTCCGTATAAATAAATAAAGTGTGTACACGTTCCAAGTGTTCCAAGTGTGGAAGCGTGCGGCGGCATGCTGATACAACAACACGCCTCCGCGCGCGTATGTGTGAGTGTGTGTGTATACCTAATCTGTAGGGTGTTCATACGATGCGTAATTAATTACATAACTTTTGGTTAACTTTACTTAGAAGTTTATTAATATTTATGTTATATTAATTTTTATTTTGTCATATATGATCGTCAAATATCACGTCCTCAAATATCGATAGTAATTCACCAGTCACCCTGTATACATTTATATTACGTATACATCGTTTTATATTTGGTACATGATACGCGAACTTCACCAGCGTTCATTAGGAATAGTAAACCGGCTTTGAAATATCATATTCACAAATACGTACGTAAACCACCTAACATTCATATATGTACTTACAGATAAATTAATATAGGCCTGATTTTAGAATTGAAATGTTCATTAAATATAATTAAAGAGAAATAATCTCAAAATGGCAATGTATATATTTGAAAAACTTGTAAACGCTACTTCTTAAATGCCCTATAATTATTCCAAGAATCAAATCAACACAAAAAAAGTTTGATCAGATTATCTATGGTTCCCCGTGTGAAGTGTTATTTGGCGCCTTTTTTCCAAGTAAAATGTATTGGGGTGCGTTCCGAATCATGGTTCCCAGAATGAAAGCTGTTGAAATTTATTTTCCGGGAATTTGTTAAATGTATGTAATAAAACCTTCGTGTATTTTAAAATTGTTTTCTTTTTTGTGACATTTAATAGCCAATCATGTTGTCAAAATTATATCATATTTTAAACTAAACAACCAACTCGAGTTATACAAATTTGTTTTTAAGTACTTACATATAAAAAAATATACAAAAATAAAATAATAGTGTTCTTAAGTATAAACAGTTTCAAATGTATAGAAATTAAATATTATAGTAAACTATTGTACTTAAGAGTATGTAATATTTTATTTTGACATTTTAATATCGTTTTTGATTGATTGATTTTGATATTTATGTTGACGCGATTAGTTTTTGTCTACCTTACGTTATTAATAATTATGATTAAGATAAAAAAAAAAAAACAAAAGGAAATACTCCGCTTATCATAAAATGTGTACGCAGTAATGTTTCATTATCATGATTAGGTACTAAATTCTAGTGTCATTCTATTTATGACAGTGTAAGTCAAAGCAAGATCTTTCTTAAAAACGAAATTAAACGTATTTTACTCAAAGACAAATGTGTCATTTACACTGCAAAATATCAAATATGTTATCGTAATGTAATATTAGTGGGAAGAGGAAAGATTATGTTTTAAAACTCACCTTTTCCTTTCTGTTCTTGTTCAAGACTGTCCCTGGCTCTAGAGGCAGCCCATCTTCGTAGCTCCAACCTCTCATAGCCGTACCAACCAAGCAATTCATTCATTGCTGTCTCCGCAAAATCCTGCAAGAATTACAATAGCACTTAGTGAATATAATAAATTGGTTATTAGTCCTATATTTGTTATTTAACTAGGACTTTCGAAAATTATGAATAAGTCTATAAATTTGTGATTGCAATAGAATTGCGTAAGAACCTGCAGATTTACAAAAATATACTAATATAATTTAGTTTTTAGAATTTTAAATGTTTTTGATATTGCTGATTAGCGCTTGTTAGATAAGTAATAATTTACTGCCAAAAGTACATATTAATAGACAATACTTTAACAAACAAATGAATTATAAAGACGTACGGGTTTAAGTACTAAAAGTATCAAAATATACATTATAATTCATTATGGCGCTCCCTTAACAAAAATTTTCTTTAATACAATGCAACTTAATATTATTTACACAATTTTATTAACTGTAAATTTTCAAAAATATCTTAAAAACTAAATATATAATATGAAACGTAATGTTCTCTGATGAAAATGAAAAAAATAATACTCAAAATACATTTACAACTAGGAACATATGTAATAAATTATTTTTTTCTAAATTGCGAAAGATATTTAGAATTATTACAGTAATGAAGTCCTGAATAATATTGATTTCCAATTTTTCCAAAAGAAAAAAATGCTGTCGGCGTAATAAAACCTACTTTTTAGCTTAAACGTAAAAAATAAAAGTCTGTTCTTAAATTGGAAACATGGAGTTTAAATCCTTCAAAGAGATTCGATACTTACATGAAAGTTTATACTTATGTTTCCGTGTTTCCAAGTCTATAATTAATTATGTATTTAATATACGAAACATATAATCGAAGGTGATTGAACATATTTTGTTATTGCTTTTATTTCGTGTTTTAAATCCTTTATAATAAATTTACTTCTTAAAATTAAATCCATCCATTTATACATGTGAGATCCACTGAACATAAGCCTCCCTCATCGACGTCCATTTGCTTTGACAAGAAGTAGCCTGATTCGTCATCCACCTTAGTGGAGGTGCAGCGCTGAGTTTTCCTATCATTGGTCTCCATTCGAGAACTTTTCGGCCTCAATGGCCATCTTTTCTTCATGCTATATGCCCTGCCACTGCTACTTCTGTCGGTGACTTTCGTTGTTTTACGTATATCCTCATTAGTCTTTCGATTCCATTTTTATTTAACTATATTTCTGAAGTCCGACCGACATGATGACGTTTCTATACAAATAATACAGAACTTTGACATACCGATAGCCAATATGGCATCGCTGGAGAAACTCCATTTGAGAGGCTTTTTCGTAATCCACAAACGCTACACAGATCAACAAGTAAAACTCTTTGATCTTTTGTATAACGTGGTGCAGCTATTGTATGTGGTCTACGGTACTAGGGTACGGAACCCGGCTTCAGAAATTAATACCATCTTACAAAGAGGCTAATATAATTTTAAACCTAATAACTAAAGTTTTACAAAACAAAATTTAAGTATGTTGAGAGTAATACATAAAAATAAGTTAGAAACTTTTTATTTACAACAGTCACTTTAAATATTTATAAAACCACTTAGCCTAAACTTTTATTTTAACTTTTTAATAAAAAAACGGATCACGTCTAAAAATTATAATTCCTCCACAATTCTATATAAAAAAAATTATCAATAAGATATTTAAACTTTCCCTGAGGATAACAAGATCGAAGATTCATCGAACATAACCAATAACACACACACACACCTATATATACATATATGATACTTATTAATCTACGTCATCTGAAGAAGAGTGCAAGAGGCCTATATAGTAATCGAGGCACGAGAAGAACAATAGAAATCTAAAGACAACATCTTAAAGCGATGTACATATTGTAGGTGATCATATATCCAGATAATTTAAAACGTCTTTTTAATTTCGACAGCCTAAATATCATGATCGCTGTGAAAATTCATGTTTAGTGGAACTTGACTCACTTCTTCTAATATTAAAGTTTTATTTTCTAACGCCTTCGTTATCGAATATAAATTCAACGCAATAATTTTAATTCAGATATACAAACAAAATATTTAAACAAATATGAAACTAAAAAAAAAATACAAGCTCGTTACAATAAATACAATATTTAACGAGCGTTATACGCTCACCTCCACTTACCAAGCTACTCTCTCCACCTAGCCAAAATTGAAAAGAACCTACTAGGGCTGCCTTCGAAGTACCTATAATAATACTAAATAATTTGGACACCAACTTAGAAATAATTATGTATGTCAAAATAGTATATAATCAAAAGCCTCAATGCAGATAAATTTTGCTTCAACAGTTAAAAATTTAAATTAAAGGTGTTTAAGAACAGTAAAACTAACTAGCACAGATTAAAAATATCACAAACAAGCAATTATTAATCTGTAAAACTTCACAAATAAAAATAAAAAAAAATATCATTCGTATTTATATCTGAAAATACGAATATATATTCTTAAACGAGATTTGTACAGAATTAACAGTTTCAGTCGACCTCTTTCTTGTAGTATTTTATTGCCAGAGATCTCTGTTATAAATTCGTAAGTATATACGTGGATCAAGAAATATCTGTGTCACTATAAAAAGATATAACATTAATACCCGATAATATATTGTACCATGCGTATGTAAAAAATATATACGCTGTAACGAAAAACACAGATACAAAACCGCCCGCCATTTTATCATCTGCATGATATAGGTTCCCGCGAATTGGCTTTAATAATAAATCAAATAAATTTACTTTAATGGCGTCTTATAAATTTGTGATTGTAATTGTAATAAAAAGTCATTTGTAACGATCGTTAACATTTACGAGACGAGTTCAGTTCATCATATATCTAATTGATTTAATTTATATTTTATCATATGCATAAACTGTCAAAAAACATTCTTGAAGATATAATTTTAATTTTAAAATCTCGACTAAAGAGTTTTAACAGAATTCATACTTAATTGAAGGCAAAACGTTATTTTGCCTGTAAAGAGTTAATCCTAAACTTTTTTTTTTCAGCCACCTGAAGTGAATATAATAGAAAAGATTTTTGTGTACTTTTGTAATTAATTCAATTTTTTTAAATAAAAAATAAAATGGAAATGAATTTCATTATTCCAATCAAGAATCATAATTATAATTTATGATATATAAATATAATTTGTGCTCATTATATTTAATCGATTCTTATTAGTCTAAATTTATCTTATAATCTAGATAAAAATTAGTTATATTATAATCAAGTTAGGTTCTACCTTTAAATACGCGACATATACAAACTCTTTAGAGCACAACCTCATCTAACTTCACCTCACTAACGTACATAGTATTTATGTACATGTTAAATATAATCTACGTAACAGAAACACCAAAACTAAACAATATTATACACAGATATTGTAAATTCACATCCTTAAAGACGTTCATTATATCCTTTGACACGAGAGCGTCGCCTTAATTAATACGTGTTAGGGGTTAGCTCTCAAAAGATGACCAGTGCAAGTTAAATTGGGCTCCAGTTACTTACGATGTATAAAAAATAACACATTAATTAATAAACAAAGTTAAACATATTTTTCTAAACAAAGTTAAACATATTTTTCATATATAAATGGTAAGCTTTAAACTAAATTAAGATGAAAATCAATATCACGTACGTACGGAATAATAATTATTAATAATTACAAAAGCGATATTCAAGCTCCCGAACCACCAATAGTCGACGGTAAGTGAAAAATAATACTCGCCGCTGATGTGTTTATTATTGTATTATCTATTTGAATTTCGAAATACGAAATCAACTTTCGCATTTCCGCCTCCAGCTTTAATATATTATGTTAAAAAATATGCATATGTTTAATATATTTTATAATATAACTACATATACATATATTTGAGAGATTTTTAAAAAGTTTGAAGATCAACACAAATGGTTAACACGGAACGAGTGATTGACAATCGAGGCTGAAAAAGATATTCCTTTGCCTCTCTTCTGTTTTTATATTTAAAAAATCAGTTACGTCAATTTCAAAAAAACCTAAGTAATATTAATAACGTCTAAAGATATGTAATAAGTTGATAATGATGGCAACATATAATAATTTCCAACCTTTTTAGATGTGAAATCGTTAAAATAATATTTGGGTTATATATTTTTTTCCCTAGGGATAATATTAGTTGACAAAATCTTGAAAACTAGACATGCAACATAGAAATGTCAAATGAAATTATCTGTCATTTTAATGACATTGCTCAAATGTTTTTTTCAATTCTATTTGAGTATAATAAATTTACTTATTCATCGATCCAAACGCGTAACTTTTTTAAAATGATACACCTAAAAATATAAACACTCGTTTGTTTGAAAAGAACATATCAAATTAATTATATCAATTTATCAGCGAGTGGGATTTCATTGACTGTGATTTTATTAACACGAAACAAGCATGATTTAAAAATGGAACAAATAAAAACAAATCTAATATAAAACTAAAAGCATTATATATATAAAAGTATTTAAATGTATTAAAAACTTTAATAAAGTATGACATTACTTTAAAAGAATGACGTCATGTAATTCTAATTGTCTCGTTTAAAGATGAAATTGATACCAGACCCTATCGAGTGCTAAGAAAAAACAAATATTACATTTGAATTAAAAAATACTTTTACTTAAAATCTATTGAAGAAATTTATATGGAGCTAACATTGTTTTTTTATATAATTATAAAAAAGGAAAACGGGATAATCTATCCAGGGGTTTCATAAGAAAACTTTACTAGCTACTAAAACAACTCAAAGGTATAATATTAGGTGTAAGTAATACTAGACTATTGAATAATTCTCAATAGTTTTGGTTGTATTTCTCAAATAACACAAACATTTCTTTCCGTACTAGAATGAGCTAATAGCTACATATATTGCAACACGAAACCTAATAACACAGACGTAACATAAATTAAAATTCCTATATATATAGAAACTTTAAATATAAAGTTTAATATA